TAACAAATTAAAAGTCAAAGTTTCAGAAATATTATTCAAAATTTAAAATGTGCGACCACATCACGGTTTGGTATTTGGATTTGTAAATTAATCCTGTCATTTGGTAAATTAAAAAAGAAGATGAAGCCGACCTTGTGAGGTATCCCATAATTTGTTGATAGCAGCAGATATTTTTGAATATTATTGCAAATTTGGCTTCTCATGGAGTACCTGCCAAGTACCATGAATGTATTTGATGAATAATTCTGCTGTCAACAACAAGCATCATTGTGTAACTGATTTATGCACTGAGGGCCCTTAAGAATTGAAAGTACAATATATGTAGGGAGATGGTACATATAATTTGCACAAGTTCCAACTTGAGTTATAATACTTTGTTTTATGGAAACTACAGGGTCTCTGGAAGAGTTGGCTACCCATTATCCTTATTCTTTACAAATTTGGAAAACTAGCTCTCTTAAGTAGATTTCTACAGAAAATAGATCTTGCGATGAAGATTGGGGGAAAGGCTATTAGGAAGACTTGGGGAGGAGTGGGACTAGAAAGACAAGGCCAATAAAGGGATGGCAGCAAGCAAAGTTACATAGAGAGTAACTTTGGTTTGATCCTGCTCAGAGGCTCTAGAATTAGGGTAGGGCATACCCCAGAATCATCACAACCAGGAACCAGAAGTTGGTGTATTTAAACCACCTCTATGCAGCAAACCTCCAAAAAGAGTTACAGGTGCTGGCTGTTGGGAGTGAAAGTGCATGGGGAGTTGGCATGTTCTAAGATGGTAAAGGGATCTGGGGACATGTGGGCAGTGCTCTGACAGCATCTGCCACACCAGTCATGTTAGATACTCCATAATTATCGTTAAATGCTGTGGGAACAACGTTTAATCTAACCAATCTGTCCCAACAGTAAAGAACTCACTATTACCCTGCTGGGAAACATGCCCAACTCTTAGTGTCGTCTTGTTTCAGAGCCCAATGTGCAGGGAGAGGTTTCAGGGGGTCAAGAGATCTATTTCCTGCTGGTAACAGGCTGGTCAAAGAGAATCAACACATACTAGGCAGCCTAAATTAGGAAAACAAATCAGGATCAGGGTAGCCATCTCAGCTGCCTTCAGAGGCCAAGCAGATAACCTCAGTGAGAGACAGCTTCCAAATGGCTGGGTGTAGCGCAGCAGGGGAGAGAAAAGCTTCTGGAAAGCCAGAGAGATTCCCATCTAAAAGCAATAAAATTCAATCTTAAGGAATACTGGCTCAAAAGTATACTTTGTGAACATAATTTGCCCAGTAGCCTATCAATTTGCATCACTGACTGTCTAAAACAAATGACCTTAATATGTGCATAAATATTGTTTTGGACAATTACAGAAAACTTTCTAGAATACGGAAAGCAAATATAAAAGGAGAAGAGTGCTTAAATCGACTGGATTCTTGCCACATGTTTAAAAGTTGGGACTCTGTCCCAGAGCAATAGATCCTCTTAGTAGCAGTTTCATTATAATGAAATCTTTAGTATATATCCAATACATATCCAATTTATATACTTGTATGTATCTCAATGTATCATATGATATACATACTTGTATATATGATAAGAGAATTCAACCCTTATTTTGTTTGAGAGTTTTGCCATCAGCATTTTGAGAGGATAGAATTCTTTTAATTATTCAGCAAAATATAATGTTGTCTCTTAAAGACAAACTACTATCTTGCTACAATTCTTCCTTTGCCCCTCCTTAGAATCATTAGAGAAAAAATTCTTTAACGATGAGTGTTCCCCTAAAGTCTGTGTAAATTGATTGACTGTAGCACTAATGACTAAACCTTGAAGTAAACCATATGGTTAGTGTATGAGCCTTCACTGTTAGATGTTCAGAAGTTGTATTTCATGATGGCACTCCCCAGTATGTTTCCCATGTACCTTGGAATTTCTGCCATGATTCATCATCCATAATCGGGTAGATTACTCAAAGTCTTAGCTTTCAGTCTTGAAGCTTATGGGCTGAGCCTAAATGGTCCCACTGTTTTATTTAAAGAGTACAAGTACTTCTGCTGAATCTTCCATGCTTATTGCATTGAACCCACAAACCAGCCCTTGCTGGCAGTCATAAGCCAGTCAGGAATAGAATCTTAGGATTCTTTTGCAATAAGCATTCTTGTGTTCCCATTATGACTTTAACGTAAGATGCTCCATCATTAAGGGACCTGTCATTATCTCCATAATTTTTCAAATTATGTTTGAGAAGGAGAGTTGGGTTTCAGTATTCTGGCCATTTCTCCACACTTAAAATTCAAAACAAAATACTTGTCCTTGAGACTGAATTTTAAATTCTAATCTCTTAGGAAAATCATAAGCAAAAATAGATACAAAAATAAAGCCTCAATTAATCTAGGTTGGCTCGCCTCACTGACTGAATTTGCCAGCTAATTGAGTAACTTTCCACTTCCAATTTTTGCTTTGAAAGACTTGGCATAGGAAAGGCTTACTCATTTGTGGACCCTATGGGATGAAAACAGCTTCAAAGGAAAAATGAAGAGGACTTCTTTTGTTTCAGTTTCTTGGCTTTTGATTTATACTCATGCTTGCTTTTTTATTTTAAGAATATGATGAGTCCTTAGTCATTCAGACTTACTAGAAAAGGACTATTCCAAATGATTGAGAAAGCTAAACTATCATTTTAAAATAAATTGAATTTTTTAACCATCGAAAGTGTATTTAGAACTTGACCTATAAAGTCCTCTAAAAGAGCTCTTAAAGAGATTGAATTATTACTTAAATAAAAATGATGTATATAGAATTGTGATACAAAGATATACTTCTGAACAATTATCATTATATTTGATTCTTTATCCTGAATTAAACTATTCCCCTCCTGATACTGCCCAAATGAATATTGAATTATGTACTGCACTTCCACTTTGCTTAGGTTATAAAAATTGACTTTAGAGCATAAACTTACTGTCCATTAACTTTCACCTAAATGGCACTGGGTTGCCATTTGGTTAATTATATTTGGAGTTCAAAGTTGTGATTATGGCTGATTTATCAGATGTAATCTTTTAAAGGCATAAAATTAAATAATGGCAGTATAGGTAAAGAAGGTTAACTTTCCCTCAGTCATAAAGATTAATGGTCTTGATTTTCATAAATATCCGGGATGTTGATATAGTATGCTTTGCTTTTGTGTGGTTGGGTTGTATAAACTCCAAGTGGTGAAATTCAGGGAACATTTTGCCAACCATGGGTCTTTATAGGTTAAAGGAACTGACCAATGTAATGACTTTCGGTTTTCAGATTGTATAAAGCTTACACAGTTATGTTCTTTTATCTCTGCCCATTGAACAAATGTGAAATCTGTACTAAATCAACCAGTAAGATATAATCCATGCCTTCATGAAGCTTTGATGGGCATATCCAATACCAAGTAAAAAGCAAATAAGTACAGTTACTACAACTTATTAAAGTAAAATCTTTGAAATTAAAAACACCCAGTGTCCTAAGATAAGAATAAGAGGGGCATGAGTGGGGTAGATGATCTTATTGTATTATTTTCTTTATTGTTCATTATTACTAATTTAATTTTCTCCTATATAAACAAAAACCAACCAATTGGTTATGCAATTGATCAAAAATTTGTTGGATTCCATTAAAATGACATGATTTTTGAATTAGTAAAATGATTGGTTCTATCTAGGTTTGATAGGTCCCTATGAGTGAATATAATCTAGACATTTGAAAATTTTTATATTTGTAATTTATAGCTTCTAAATAATTCTTATGGTAATAAAATATGCAATCAATGTAGAAAACTTGAAAGTTACAAAAAAACTCCAAAGAAATTTTTACCCATAATTCTACCAGCAAGAGATAACCAGTATTAACGTCTTGGCCAGTATCCCAGTCACTTTCTAACACATGCATAAATATTTATACATGTGCATTAGTACAAGAAATCTAACTATACACATTATTTTACAACCATTTTCCACATTTTGGAACGAGACTTTTCCCATAATATTTTACATTTTTTATAATATAATTTTAGTGGCCGCATAGTATTTAATTACATTGTTGCATCTCAGTGAGTTAACCTAAAGCACTATTTATGTACATTTGTTTTCAGTTTTTCATTTTTATAAATACTTGGATGTCTATCTCTTTCCTTGCTTTTAATTATTTCCTCAGGGCACATTCCTAAAAGTAAAATTGCTTGGTTAAACTCCTGAGTCTTTGGATATGTGATGAAAAATATCCCCTGAAAAAAAAAACCATACTGATACAGACTTCCACTAGCTGGAGACATGTCCACTCTCACCATACCTCACTTTTACTAGGTACTTGTTTTGATTTTTAACTTTTGTCATTTTAGTAGTCATAAAATGACTAAAAAACCATGTTCTGTACTTTATATTTCATGTGAAATTAGAATACATATTTAATGATGCTTTAAGATTTGTAATGCTGCTTTAAAAATAAAACTAGAAACAAAATCAAATTTAGAGGAAATGGGAGCTTCTAGGATATGAGCATTGTGGAGACAAAGTTCAAGGTGATGCTGTTTACAGAAGCAAATCAACAAATTACAAGAGAATACAAGTAATAGAATGGGAACAACAAAAGCTCCTATTTAAATAAAAGCAAGCAAAATCAGGGCAGAGAATTCTTTGTCCCCCACAAATCAGAGTTTGCTGTAATCTCTGATGAGAAATATATTCTTAGGTTGGTAAATATGGTTGTACCTTAGAATGCCTGTGACTTTTCTCTTGAAAGAGTTTACCTTGACAGAATCTGAAAAGAAGTGAGTTGTCGGTGAAAATGACATTCTACTAGAAATGGTAAATGGAAAATCTTAAGTTTGGGATCCCTGGCAAATATCTTTCCCTATTAAAATAGTTATCAAAATTAAATTATATAAGAAAATTGGGTAGCAGTGTTAAATACAGTGATAGAATGTTAGAATTGAACAGGATTTGGAAGACTGTCTTATCCAGCCACTTATTTTACAGATAAAACAGAGTACTGCGGAGATGAAGTAACTTTCCCTGAGACCCATACCTGGTAAGTAATGAAAGAAAAAGTAAATACATTCGAACAAATATTTTGAAAAACATGGAAGTTCTCCATAATCTAGCACTTCATATATAACTGCAGTTTGGCATATGAATTTTGAAAGTACTTATTATATACACATAAAAACCATTATTTTTATTTTTTCAAAAAGTGGAATCATACATAAAAATGGTTCTACAAATTGTTCTTTTATGTATATTTTGTAGAGACACAATGTCTTATTTTCTCTCTAACACTTGGATGGTATACAGCAGAGGGTTGCAAACTATAGGGGGCTAGATAGTGAATACTTAGGCTTTGTGGACCCTACAGCTTCTGTCACATACTCAACCCTGCTGTTGGGTTGCAAAAACAGCTCTGGTCAATATGTAAACAAGTGGTGTGACTACATTCCACTAACAGCAGGCAACATTTGTCCTGCAGATTGTAGTTTGCTAATTCTTGAAATACAGAAGGAAAAAAATTAAGTTGATTTAGAAAACAATGAAGCTGAAGGAGAAATACAGTGTTTATCATAGATGTAGATGGCAGGAACTGGATTTGAGTTTCCAGTGTTAGCCATGACCTTGGTGAAGGTAGGTAGACTCGCAGGCTTCATGAGCAGAGTGTGAGTACTGATACCCAGATTGCAGGGTTGTTTTGAAGATTAAATGAAATAATTTATGTAATTTATCTGTTAGTAGGTAAGAAAATTCTCTTTCTTTTGGGATGGGGTAAAAGCAGAATTTATGTACTCACATAGATGAAGCATTTGAATAAGGAAGAAGTGGCCAAATTTACTGTGTCTCAACAAGTCAAAGACGTACATCATATGGATCCCCTTAAAAGTCGTGTTTCAAACTGTTGGCAAAGGTTGTGTAGACATAACTATTACCAGAATGGTCCTGAGATTTCCTGAGAAAGGATTAACATACTTGGCCTGGAACTTTTGCAATAAGGGAAACATTATAGTTTATTTCATAGTGATTTCAAAAAAGATAGAAGACTTTTTAGAGGGAAAATCTAATTACAGTGAAAATAAAATTTCATTTATTCATCATTTCCTTCATTATATTTTGGGGGAAAGATAAATATGTACATACAAATAATAGCAAAGGTAAACATATCCAAGTGTACTAGGAGAAAATAAGGAATTGATGTGATGCGGCTTAACTATAAATTTCTCTTATTATAATCATATTTTTATTTAATCTTCCAGTGTATCTACTGGGTAAGTTCAATCTATAGCAGTTCCAAATAACTTAATTGCTTTTCTCTAATTGATTTTGAACTTAATGTATTTTTTATGATTTTGTAACTTTGTTTTCTTCTCTGCTTGGTGTAGTTATACATTCCGTTGAGTACTTTAAGATTTGAACACAGACAGCTTTCTTGGTATTTTGTTTTGCTGTTGCTTTTTATTCAGAGCTAGCCGCTTTTATCTAAACTTAAATGTAAGCTGGAATAATTCTAATTTATTGTTGCAGTTTAATACCAATATATTGATCCACTAAATTTTATATTTTGGAGAGAAAGGTGTTTTATACTAGTTAAGTATTAATAATGACGATGGTTTACAATTTAGAGGGAAAAAGTGATTCAAGTTAATGTTCATTTCTTAGAATAAGTATATGAATTTTTGAAAAAAGAACTTACCCAACTTAATAACACAGCATATACTCTACTAAAGTTTAAGTAATTAAAACAGTTTGGCACTGGCATAAGAGTAAAGAGTGAAATCAATAGAACAGCACATCTGGAAAAACTCTAAATATTGAAATTTAATATAGAATAAAAGTGGTTTTCAACTTGAGAAAATAATAGTAGAATCAAGAATCAATGATGGGAAACAAGAATATAGAAGTATAAAATATCTTTATGGCAAAAGGTAAATGAAGCTAAAGCATTTTTGTAAATGAAAATGGAATGTGTTTATATCAATAAATCCATTAAAATAATATAAATAATTCGGTGGGAAAATAGATTACATGAACTGGATATTCTCAGAAGAGATAGCAATGGCCAATGAAGAAAATGAAAAAAGTGTTCAAGCACACTAATATTTAAATACATATAAAAGCTGTATTTTGTGTTTTGCCTTTTATTGACAAAATGTAGCCTTGATAACAGCCAGCAATGGCAAAGCTATAGGAAATCTCTACTCTTATTCCTTGTAGGTGGGACTATAGCATGAAATAACTTTTTCTAGCATAAAATTGGCCAATATCTATTAAAATTTTAATTACAGACATTCTGTAACCCAATTGTCTCACTTCTCAGAAAATATTCTACAAGATGACTTAAGTTCACATGATACATGTTGAAAATGCTCACTGTGCATTATAACAGAAAATAAAAGCCTGCTGAAATCATGATATGTCAACATAATGAAATATAAGTATTGATACGTGCTATAACCTGGATAAACCTTGAGAACACTATGCTAAGTGAAAGAAGCCAGTGCAAAAGAACACATATTGTCTGATTCCACATCTACAAGAAATGTCCGGAATATGCAAATGTTTAGGGACAGAAAGTAGCTTATTGGTTGCCTATGTTTGGGGCCAGTAGAGGTGAGATGGGGAGTTATTGCTAATAAGTGTAGGATTGCTTTTTGGGGAAAATAAAAATGTTATCAAATTAGACCATTGTGATAGTTGCAAAATTCTGTGAATATATGGGAATCATTCAATTGTACATTTTAAATAGGTGAATTTTAGAGTATGTGAATCATGTCTCAAAGGGTTTTTTTTTTTAATGCACATGTTCAAAACTAGGAATGATGAAACTTGAGTCATACAACTCAGAGTTGGTGAAACTCTCTTTTGACTTTTCAGATGAGAACTGTGTAACTTAGGACAACTTCTGAGATGCTTCTTAGAGACAAGGAATAATAAAGGGTATCAGTGCTTCAGTTGTCTGGAGTTGTGACTAAAGATGTAACACTACCTTTTGAATAGCCACAGAAGTTTTCCCGGCAAATATAATAGAATCTATACCAATGGTGGTACCTGCAATGATTTAAATCATACAAATTGCATTTTGAGGAAATTATTTTATTCCCCTCTCAATTCTGCTTTAAAACTTCTGATTCTCTTGATAAGAAAAGTGGTTTGAAGGTGTTATGTCTTCTGTATCTCTTTGTAACTGAGAGAGATCAGATTTGAGACCCAGAGCTTTCCTCAAGCCGCGCCATCTAACTTGAACTCAATTACATTGTTTGCTTTCCATCCTATTTCTTTTTATGGGCTACCTTCTATTTAAAGTAAGTGAAGCCAATTTAGTATTTATGGCAGTGTCATAATTTGTCAATTTTTAAATGCACATATAGTAAAAAACAAAAAAACATGAAATAAATGTGCGTGAAAAATGCTTCCAACAGGGCAAAATGTATGCCGGTGGAATCTGACTAACTAAAGTTTAAGAAACAACTTAAAGACTACCACAGTCATAAAATCTTGAGGTTCAAAGGGGTCTGTAGGCCTTGTAGTTTGAGATAATTTGTATTTTTATTTTTTGTTAAAAATGAGGAAACAGACCTTGGGATGTTAGGGTCTTGCACAGGGTTACCACGGGTTATATTTTCAGACTCAGTTTCGAGATAAGAAAAGCACTGTTAGCTCCTCTTACTCCATATCACTAAGAGTCTCAGAAGTTGTGGCTTAGGAGAGCCAGACAGAATTAAGCAGGACTTTGTGACTTACCAAGACTCAGGGAAGACTTTACCAAATGCCAGATTCAAATGATCTCTTCATTTCTGATTGCAGTTGAATATTTTTGAACTTTTATTCTCAGGGCAGCCATAGAGACAGAGAAGGGATTACAAAAGTTAAGGAAGATGCGGGGCAGTGGGTAGATAGAACCTAGCTTGCCTTATTGTAAAAACGCCAAAGCTAATTTTGATGATTGCTTTAGTGATATACTGATAACCAAGATTAAAGCAAGCAGGCATCCACTTTAGGATATGAGAACTGGAATTTTAGATTTCATTATAAGATTGCCATCTCAACAAAATAGTAATATAATGGCAATAGATTTCCATTTTTTCTCCATTTCAGTTGAAATATTATCTCATAAATATACTTTGATACAAAAGAGATCTCTCAATTTTATGATCGCTCTATTTTATTCTTATGCTGATTTATCCCCAAAATATCTTTTTGATATACAGCTTCAATATTCTTGCCAATGTCCATGACATCAGCAATCAAAAATAGCATTTTTAAATGTCTTTTTCACATACAGTTGTAAGTTATCCAAAAAAGAACTCCTGCTTAGTGCTCACTGAAACTTTCTTACAGTATTACCAAGAGACATTTATGGTTCATGTAGCTAATTATCCCAAGAGGGTGGAAAAAACATCCATGAAAGGGGTCAACTTCACCTAGTGCTATTGTGAAATGTAGGTAGGGAAAACAGGGAGTTAATAATACTAGAAGGAAGTGCGGTTTTTTCAAACTATGTTTTTAGGAAACTAACGTTCTGAGACCATGTAGCTAGAAAATAACAGAGCTCTGTGTCTCTCTATTCCACTAGACTCAGAGCCCCACAATCTGAATTCCAGACTAATCCCATATGGGTCAGCTTTCCCAGGCCTCAGAAGCGTTCTACTCATTGATACTGTTAGATACAAAGGGTAGTGATCAAATGTCATAATCCATGAGGTTCATTTAGTTGAACAGGAAGAAAGCAAAGAATCTGGGATGCAAATGCCCTACACTAACCCAGCTTATGTGGGCCACGCACACGGAGAATGATGTCAGAGAGCTCATGCAGAGGAGTAAGGCAATGATGGCTATTGGCTCTGATCCTGATGGAGAAGGAAGTCACTATTACCTGGCACACCTCGGGACTTTTAGATTGGTTAAGTCTGCTTCCTTTGAAACCCTACTCTAGAACTTCATTTGTTTTTTCAGTTTTTGGGGTCACTTCTACAATATTGTGGAATTTTTTAAAAAATCGTTATTACCTTAGTTATTAAAACTCCTTGCAAACAACCTGAGATTCTCCTGTTTTGTATATCATTTCTTCCTATATCAAGTAGGAA